AGAAGATGTAAAGCGGCATGGCTCGGATACGAAGAGTGATGCGGTGAGTCACGTAGACAGCTTCGAGCGCCTAGTCATAGTCCGTGCGTGGAGGATATTCAATCCTTAGTACAGAAGGAGTTAACTATTGATGAAACTAACTTTGTGATTTATCCAGTTCCAGCAGCACAACCGTGACAGCCTGTGGCTGCTCTAGTAATTCCCTGCCGTGCCAGCGAGGTAGACTGAATATTTCGCATCTTTCTTGCCAGGTCCGAAGATATTTTGCGTTATGAAGTCCTTTGTAGCCAGCGGAAGCACTGTAGCAGAATGCGGTACTGTAACAGTCGACTATTACGGAATCAAATTGTAACGACTTGTGATACGCTATAACTATAGTGCTAAGCCGTTTAGAGTTAAAATAGATTTTGAACGTCGGCTATTCGAATTCACGGAACCGTTCGATTTCGGACTCGACTTCGCTTCCTAAACAAATGCACTTTTGACTCATCTAAGAAGTAAAGTACAACGGTTTTCGGAAATGTTCGCGCGCTCGCGTGGCTTTCGCGTATTTCGCGTATTTCGCGTATTTCGCCAAAGGCCATGTGGTTTTCGCTTACCTCGCTTAACCTCGATTTGGAAACTCGCGTGGTTTTCATGTATATTTCGAGCGGCGACTCCAACAACCTCACCCATTGGGAATGTTGCGCAACAACATTGGTAACTGTATGTGTACATGGCATTAAATAATGTGTTTGAGCAGGGGGACAACAGGATTTGAGTGTTTTGCCTACTGCAATTATTAGTAGTGACTGTATATGTACATAAATGGAACAACATATGATACAATTACAGACAGGGAGATAACAAATGTGGTGACAGGAGATAAGATTCAAATAAAAAAAGGAGACAAAGACAATGTAGACTCAAAAACCAGAGAATGTGATGACAGGAAAATGGGGAAATGGGAGAACAGGAGACAGGAGATGGGAGACTGAGAGAACAGAGACGGGAGACGGGAGACGGGAGACGGGAGATGGGAGACGGGAGACGGGAGACGGGAGACGGGAGACGGGAGACGGGAGACGGGAGACGGGAGACGGGAGACGGGAGACGGGAGACGGGAGACGGGAGACGGGAGACGGGAGACGGGAGACGGGAGACGGGAGACGGGAGACGGGAGACGGGAGACGGGAGACGGGAGACGGGAGACGGGAGATAGGAGACAGGAGTAGGAAGCAGGGAGTAGGGAGTAGGGAGTAGGGATTAGCATGGGTATACCCCATGGTAACATTTTTTCCAATCACATATATTACCATTTGAAGGCACATGTACAACTTCAAAATTTTATACTGATCCATCACTCCTATGGTAATCAATTTGGAGGTATATTCCCAGGGGTACAGGGGTCTTCAGATCCAAACCCCTACCCCTACCCTCAAGGGTTTCCCATACCCCTGCTGATCCCTAGATGGGAAGCAGGGAAAAATGGGAAAATAAATACATTCAATGATACTGTTACATATTTTGTATTTTTATATTGGTCAAAATCCTGCTCAAAGAACATAGCACTGACTGATTGTATGTAGTACTATGTACTTTTATGTGGTGTGATAGATTGTACTTTGAGTTTTTTTGAAAAGCTGCTCATAAATATATTTCAAAATCATTCAAAATGCACAATTGATTAGGATGCAGCCTGAGGCCAGGAAGCCAAAGGAGGGCGTAGCCCTCCTTGGCTTCCTGTGACGAAGGAACAACACTCATTTTTCTCCCCTGAAGGAGCGCGTAGCGCTCCTTCGATTTGTGCCGAAGGCACAACGGGCGTGAGCTCGTCTTAAGAAGAAAGGGAGAAAGGTTTCGGAAATGTTCGCGCGCTCGCGTGGTTTTCGCGTAGCGCCATGTGGTTTTCGTTTAGATACGCTTAGATACGCTTAGATTCGCTTAGATTCGCCTAAGGCCACATGGTTTTCGCTTACCTCGCTTGAACTTCTATTTGGAAACTCGCGTGGTTTTCATGTATATTTCGAGCGGCGACTCAAACAACGTCACCCATTGGGAATGTTGCGCAACAACATTGGTAACTGTATGTGTACATGGCATTAAATAATGTGTTTGAGCAGGGGGACAACAGGATTTGAGTGTTTTGCCTACTGCAATTATTAGTAGTGACTGTATATGTACATAAATGGAACAACATATGATACAATTACAGACAGGGAGATAACAAATGTGGTGACAGGAGATAAGATTCAAATAAAAAAAGGAGACAAAGACAATGTAGACTCAAAAACCAGAGAATGTGATGACAGGAAAATGGGGAAATGGGAGAACAGGAGACAGGAGATGGGAGACTGAGAGAACAGAGACGGGAGACGGGAGACGGGAGACGGGAGACGGGAGACGGGAGACGGGAGACGGGAGACGGGAGACGGGAGACGGGAGACGGGAGACGGGAGACGGGAGACGGGAGACGGGAGACGGGAGACGGGAGACGGGAGACGGGAGACGGGAGACGGGAGACGGGAGACGGGAGACGGGAGACGGGAGACGGGAGACGGGAGACAGGAGACGGGAGACAGGAGACAGGAGACGGGAGACAGGAGACAGGAGACAGGAGACAGGAGACAGGAGACAGGAGACAGGAGACAGGAGACAGGAGTAGGAAGTAGGGAGTAGGGAGTAGGGAGACGGGAGACAGGAGACGGGAGACAGGAGACAGGAGACAGGGGACGGGAGACAGGAAACGGGAGGACATGGGGCACAGTGGGAGATGGGAGGCAGGGAAAAATGGGAAAATAAATACATTCAATGATACTGTTACATATTTTGTATTTTTACATTTGTCAAAATCCTGCTCAAAGAACATAGGGAACAGACTGATCTTATGTACTACAAGAGTACCAATCACCTTCAAACATTGTGTGTCTGTATACTATGTTTGCCATAGTCTTCTCCTCGGCCTCTGTAGGAAATAGTGCCTGAATGTCTCTTTGACATTGCACACTCAATAGTGCAGTGTAAAGCTGACTGTGTGTGAACAAATCTGTATGAAGGCCCAGCACAGGCAGGAAAGTCATGCAAATTGGTTCCACAGGATCAAATGTTTCATCCTTACATATTGTAAATGTACTTTTATGTGGTGTGATAGATTGTACTTTGAGTTTTTTCAAAAAAGCTACTCATAAATGTATTTCAAAAGTGTCCAAAATGTACAATTTATTAGGATGCAGCCTGAAGTCAAAAGAGGGTGCAACCCTCCTTGGCTTCCTGTGACGAAGGAACAATGCTCATCAGGAGCCTTCTGAATTATTGGGATGAAGCTGAGGCCAGGGAGCTTAAAAAGAGCGTGAAGCGCTCTTTTTTTGCGACCTGTGCCGAAGGCAGAACGGGTGTGGACTAGTCTAAGAAGTAAAGTACAACGGTTTCGGGAACTTTTGCGCACTCGCGTGGTTTGCGCGTATTTCGAGTATTTCGCCAAAGGCCATGTGGTTTTCGCTTACCTCGCTTAACCTCGATTTGGAAACTCGCGTGGTTTTCATGTATATTTCGAGCGGCGACTCAAACAACGTCACCCATTGGGAATGTTGCGCAACAACATTGGTAACTGTATGTGTACATGGCATTAAATAATGTGTTTGAGCAGGGGGACAACAGGATTTGAGTGTTTTGCCTACTGCAATTATTAGTAGTGACTGTATATGTACATAAATGGAACAACATATGATACAATTACAGACAGGGAGATAACAAATGTGGTGACAGGAGATAAGATTCAAATAAAAAAGGAGACAAAGACAATGTAGACTCAAAAACCAGAGAATGTGATGACAGGAAAATGGGGAAATGGGAGAACAGGAGACGGGAGACGGGAGACTGAGAGACGGGAGACGGGAGACGGGAGATGGGAGACGGGAGACGGGAGACGGGAGACGGGAGACGGGAGACGGGAGACGGGAGACGGGAGACAGGAGACAGGAGACAGGAGACAGGAGACGGGAGACGGGAGACAGGAGACGGGAGACAGGAGACGGGAGACGGGAGACGGGAGACAGGAGTAGGAAGTAGGAAGTAGGGAGTAGGGAGTAGGGATTAGCATGGGTATACCCCATGGTAACACTTTTTCCAATCACATATATTACCATTTGAAGGCAAATGTACAACTTCAAAATTTTATACTTATCCATCACTCCTATGGTAATCAATTTGGGGATATATTCCCAGGGGTACAGGGGTCTTTAGATCCAAACCCCTACCCCTACCCTCAAGTTTCCCATACCCCTGCTGATCCCTAGATGGGAGGCAGGGAAAAATGGGAAAACAAATACATTCAATGATACTGTTACATATTTTGTATTTTTTACATTGGTCAAAATCCTGCTCAAAGAACATAGCACTGACTGATCTTATGTACTATTGTACTTTTGAGTTCTTTGAAAAGCTGCTCATAAATATATTTCAAAATCATTCAAAATGCACAATTTATTAGGATGCAGCCTGAGGCCAGGAAGCCAAAGGAGGGCGTAGCCCTCCTTGGCTTCCTGTGACGAAGGAACAACACTCATTTTTCTCCCCTGAAGGAGCGCGTAGCGCTCCTTTGATTTGTGCCGAAGGCACAACGGGCGTGAGCTCGTACTTATTGTACGACTTTGTCAAGTTATTGCGTTGTTTCCCAACAGGCAACATTTATGATATTGATATTCATCACGTTTGATTGCACATGATCAATTTGACGTGCACACGTCATGACGTTGCGCCCATGATACCGGTCCTGACGTCGACATCAATGAGGTTTGAAAATCACAGCGTCTATCATAGACGCTACACCGAGGCGGATTTTTTGATGTTGTTCTGTTCTTGTGATCGCATTGACAGTGGATCCAAGGGGGGTCGGTACATGACGTTGACACGAATGGCTTCCACGGGAACAAACACTCTGTGTAAATATACACTACTCTATGGCCAAAAATTTGATGTCCGAATCTAAGTGTCTATAACATTCTTTGATGGCTTCTCTAGGTTCACACAGAATATGAAACGCGCACAGGTGGAGACGAGGGGAAGAAGAGCCAAAGGACGAACATGGCCACATTTTGAGAGACTGTTACATAGCAGAACACTCTCATGCCGTCCTTGTTTGAGATTATACCGGTGATGAAGGGGAGCACGGCTTAAACACTTCAATGAGCCTGAAAGTGTATAACACAAGTCGGATAACGTACCACTTCCTGCGCTAGCAACAGCAGTGCTGATACAGAAGTCACGGTCAGTTATGTCTGGAATGCTGTGACGAGGCCACTCACAGAATAGCCATTGAAACCATGTGCACGTCTCTCGGAAGGATATCGTTACAAAGGCCCAGTGTCCCGGGAAATATAGGCCCATACATCAAACCCACCACGGCGGATGAAAGGGCGTTCTCGATTGTCGAGTCAACAAACCAAATAAGGATGGTCATGAGGAAGGAAACGCCTGGATATTGTTATCAAGTCAGGATGTCAGTCTGAGGAGCAGGCCCTCATCGACGGACCTCTGAAGGTTAGCAATCAGTAACTTTTCAGAGTCATAAATGGAGTGACGGACGTGCATGCATGAATAATACGTTTGCGTTGGGTAAATGTCAAGCTGCCGAGCACATCAAAAATTAGACAAGGCCATGACGATGCCCTGCGACCGACCCTGTGCAATAATATCCCCATAAAATTCTACCAGCCAGCGGCCATACCTTTCCAAAAGCCGCTACTGACGTACCCGACAGTATTTGGACTAGAACCCTGGTGCATGTTCAAAATGGGACAGTAGCAATCAGATCAACAGAAACACACTCGATTGGAACGATTAAGTAAACGAGCGTGAACTGGCCAAAGATAGTAGACTAACTCTCTGGAACCGGCTTTTGTTGGATCTCAGTATCCAGGATGCCCTTGAGCACGAATGATGGGTTATCAAACATGATGGACAGAACAACCTGTGGAAATTGGGGGGCAAGCTGAAGGGATAACTGGTTCACAGGCCTACTACCTGTCCCTAGATCTGCGAAAAGTCCGATAACAAATGAGGATGAACGGGCGGTGAAGTTCGAGTTGGAACAAACCTGTACGAAGTTGAAGATTTATACAAAAGAGCGCAAGAAGGGTCAAGCACGAGTTAACTATCGATGAACAACTCCAAAATAACTTTGTGGTTTATCCAGTTCCAGCAGCACAACAACAGCCTGTGGCTGCCCTAGTAATTCCCTGCCGTGCCAGTAAGGTAGAATTAACATTTTGCATCTTTCTTGCCAAGTCCGAAGATATTTTTGGCAGTTCGCCGAGAATAAGTGAGATGGTCGAGTAGAGTGATCCAGGTGGGGCTGGGGGGCCGACCCGTGCGGAGTTTAAACTATATATGGTTTATCGTAACGCCGCGTATTGAAGGACACCGTGTGGTTCTAGTGCTGACATCCCTCGGAATGTATCTGGCTGCGCATCTATACTCACCATGTGCATGATTGATTTGATGCTGTATTTTACATTGGTTTTCATCAGAGCCACACCGGGCTGACTATACTTGCGACAGTATAGTCCGATGGCTGCGGCAAAGAGCAACAACTTGACTCGGAAGGTGCTGAGGAGCACAAGAATTAGTGGGTATGGAGAGGTATAATCTGGGGGGTCGACAGGTGACTTATCCGTTCGCTCCATTTGAATCTCCCCTACTTTTCGTTTGCGACTTTCTACTTTCATGCCAACAGAATGTGACCGTGTCGAGTGACCTTGGACAAGCTGTTATGCTCCCCGACCCGGGTGAGCAAAGTAGGATGAAGCTGAGCGCTGATCAGTAGGCATCCAAAGCAGGGATATACTCCATTCCTATAGTTAACTTCTTGTTTTGGCAGTGAAGCGCTGCCTGGTGAGATTCATATTTAGCACAGACTAAGGGCGCCCATCACTGGGCGCACATTTATCCTCTAACAACATGACCCTAGTATCAAATGATTCCGCCTGGTGGCCGTTCATGCTTTCGACCCAAATGACCAGTTATGTTGTTGGTTCGTAGAGAACCGATTGAATGAAGCATGACCATGTGATAATCTAACCCTGCGGTTTTGCAACTGCCTTCTCTTTTGGGTTGATGTATGATTGGGGTGAGCAAGATAGTATTCAAGTATCACTGGTATACTGGTATACTTATGGTGTGTTTTAGCATTGACGTTCGGACGAGAGGTAGGTCGGTATCATTACCGAAGCAACCATTTCGCTGGTCACATATTTATAGGTCGAACTGGTCTGGGTGAGCGGAGTCTCGCATCAGAAAACACATGGAAATACAATTTACGCGCGGCAGAGGCAACGTTGGTCATTCATGACTGTTCTGTATCTCGGTGTACGTATTTCGTGTTGCAAGTGTGGTCAAGACGTTGTACCGACTCGACAATATTCTAGGTCCGTTGTGCTGGTATATCACATGCTATGTATGTTTGCATGGCTAAACAATCGATGTTGTGTTAATAAGCTGACTCTCATACTCAGCATTAACATCCAGTGTATGTCTACGCACATACACTGCATATATTTCTTCTGATCGACGGCATGCAGTATCTCTTCCAAGAACTTCAGTGACAGATTCAGTGAGTATTCTGCACCGCTGCTTGCCATTCATATCCAATTAATTGTACTTCCCTGCAGGGGTGAGTGAGTTACCGAGCTTCTTGGCTCAACACAATACTGTCATAGATGTGAGTTTGTCTAAAGTCTGTGACCATCTGAGGCTGTTAACTTGATTTTCTAGGCCGGACGATGTTCGACGCACTATGTTGGCTGAATGTTGCCGTGACTGCAATGTTGGGTGGTGAGCTACGCAGCTGCATTATTTTGACTGAACTGACGTATCGCGCAAGTCATCATGATCGCTCGGTTATATGCCTTGCATCAGCAATCCAGAAAAGTACTGATATCTCTCAGCATCATTTTCCTGCCTGTCAACATCGCTGATGGAGTTATCACCATAATAGTTACGAGTCGTGTTTCGTCGGGTAAGCTTTCATTTTGGTGAATGACGGACTAGAATATGTGAAGCTCATTTGAAAACACAGAAGTGTTCATTCTCTTTGGCATCGCTCAGTGCGCTTCTGACTTCCAAGAAGGCTCGGATAATCTACTTCTGGCTTTGATGACTTGGATTCTCCCCGCTGTATGGGAGGTCCTTGCACTATATCTCGCAATCCGGATTGCTTTCAAACGCCTCCGTGAGCTGCAGCGACTGTTGACAGGATGACTTGATGTCAGAGACTGTTTCGCGGTGTTAACAAAAACTCACGTAATTTACTTTGTGAGGTGAGCTTATGATGCGAGTATGATCCTCCTTTCTCCGCTGAAGTTCTGCACCTTCAGTTTTGTTGCTGTTTCTGGCTTTATCCTCCCTTATGCGCTTCTAATGGCCATAGCGGTATGTGAATGTGACTCTGACTTTTGCATGCGAACGTCGTTGATCATTACTACAGGAGACAGTTGTCGCGGAACATCAGATTTATTCGGGTTTGGCTCAAACTTTCATAGTCACAATGATGTGCGTGCTGGGACCACGCCTGATCCTTGGCGTTCGAGAATATCACGCGAAGCTTGTGGCTGACTCCGAAAGAGGTCCTGGCATGACTTCAATTGCCTTTGAAGAGCGCGTGCATGTGTCGACCGGCATCAGTGTGTAGCATGGAAAATGTTTGCTGGGTTTCCGCGTGCCGAATTCTCTCGGGCTGTATTGTGTTAGGGGTATGGTTCATTATATAATTACTGATTTAAACGGTCTCTGAATCTATCTCTTCGCAGTGCTCCACTCTTCACAATTCGGAAATACAAATTGCTCCACTTGTGCTATTTGCGTGCTGCTAGTTCTGAAAGAGCTGTTTCGTTCTGTGATCTTGTGTCCGCTGCCTCATTTTTGCCTGCCGCGGGCGTGACATGAATGTTGCACTCCTAGCTTCACTGAAAATTGATGTTTGCACTTCTGACTAGCTTCTGATTGAGACTTAAGGCGACCAAAGGTCGCGTCTGATGTGGCCTTGGTAAGGTTTACATGACACCGGTACGGTGAAGCTTGATGGGGAACGATATGGGTGGACTGACGGCGGACACAACATGGGCAAGACTTGACGCGGAAATAATGGTGGTATGCGTGTCATAGCATCTACATAGCTAACATTCACTGAACTACCATTAGTGCGATCAGAGACAAGCACAGAAGGCAGCGTCCTGCAAGGTGTTATATCCACTTGAGACGAACTCGACATCGCTAATCACCAAGGATCAACTGCAACTGGTGACCTTCACAGTTTTGGCGGTGCAAATGTATTTCTCCACAACATTACGTATATTTTCTTATCAGCGACGAAACAACCTTTGAGCTATATTGTGTCGATGTCGAGCAACCCTTGCCCTCCATTTTTTCCAGGTCTCTCATCCTGACCTCTCACTTATGGTAGACGGTATATTATGCCTCAGATCTGTCGTAACGTAACGCTCGGACTGGCGGCTCCTCCACGCAGATAAAACTCTAAGGCGTGCAGGTGAGTAATGTGGTTGAATTCTGGTTGCACGGTGACAAGCTCATACTCCCTTCCATATCACAAACATATCCTGCGCAACAATCTGTCTTCTCTCTGCAAAGTATGCTACATGCACCGACAGACATCGATGCTATCAAAGCAACAACAACGGCGAGGAAGGAGAAACGCATGTTCTGTGCAAGGTGATATGGACTCTTCTGAGGGGGATCTCAAATAATATCTTCAAGGATGGGGCAACACTATAGGACGACGGCCAGCTTTTATGTATCTTGCATATACTAATGAGCATAATTCTGATCGATTTGGCAGAATCGTTATTGCTGTCGGATGGCAAAAATATGGGCAGAACTTACAGGAACGTATTCAATTGATTACGGCCATTGTATCATGACCCGACTGGCCAGCCGCAGGCATCGACTTCTGCAAAATGCTCACTCGAATGGCCGGTCTCTCATCCCGGTCTCTCCCTCATCGCTTCATCATTTGAACCTGCAGTGACCCTGCGCAGCGACGAAGTTGAGAAGTTGATGATCATTCTCGCCGATAATTCCGATATATTCGGTCGATATCTCGTGTCATTTTTCTCTCGCACTGCACCCTTATATGTATACTTGTTGTGGTCACAACCATCTGCAAGTGCACTGAGCTACCAAAGCTCCTGGCCATAATCTACACAATTACTGTCTGAAATACTGAAACACAGGCGCACGACAGTCTTGACTAGGTTTCACTATCACAACGCTCTTTAAAAGTTTTAGTCTTCATCCGACAATCATGACGATGGAGCGGTGTATCCGTGACTGTGAGCCTGCGTGTCGCGAGCAAGGCAAAGTGGTGAAGAGCACTACGCTACGACAAAGCCCGAAGGACACTGAGTGGCTGACTAAGCTATGGTGCTACCCGGCTGCTTCTCCGCCCCTCGCCTAGGGGTCCCCCACTCCAACGATATCAACTTGGTCCATGGCATACCCCGACTCTGACCCTGTACTACCTCAGAGACAAGAAACAGCGTTGACGAAACTAGTGATTATTGACTAACGCTCCTCCAAGTCCTCTTCCTCGTCAACTGCCCCTTGTACCCCAACCAACATCCGCTCAATGAAGAGACTCACTCTCGAGCTCCCCAGGCTACTTACCCTTTGATGGAAAGTACCGCGCATGAACAATATCAACAAGTGTAGGCGTCCAATAAATTCAACAATCAATTTCACATCTTGTATAACATATAACACATAACATATGTAACAACAACATTGTCAGCGGAGAGTATTACAGATTAGTAGGGTATCATGACCTTGCTTTCATAAACATGGCACACAGCATGACTGGACTGGTCCATGTGTGAGCAGCAATAGATAGGAAGTGTTCGCACACGCAGCAAATGGCAAGACCGAAAAAAATGGTGATCAGCC